AGTAATTATATGGTAGTTAGGGCACCCGACTTGCAATCTAAGGGTCGTAGATTCGCATCTCATTTCTGAACATGCTCATCCTTTTAACCATAGGGACGTTATAATGTAATCGTCAATCTCACTAACCATTGGTAAGAAGTAGCTCAAGAGTTGCCAGTGGTTGGTGTTAACTAGCTCCCTTCCCTCTCTAGGCTATCACTTCAAAATTGAGGACGGCTATATAAGAAAGCCCTCGAGTAGCTTTACGCAAAATTAATAAAACATTAACAAAAAATAAAATGACAGTAATTTATGGAAAATCCATGATTCCTATCGCATTGCCTGCCTGCCTTTCTTTTTTTATATAATGGATTTTGTTGACAATTTATGAATGGAAAGTAATCTGCGATTAATACGTTTGTAGACTATGTATATAACGTTTTGTTCACTACAGGAATACTTTTACATATTATAATAAATCTAGAAGCTTTATGAAATAAGTTGAAAAACAAAATAAATCTTATTGGACTGCTGGTGTTGAACAAGTGTTCAACACAATTAAGAAGGAATTGACGACTATTTCTGTATTAGTATATCCAAGTATTGAAGATTCGCTCATGTTAGATACAGATGCTAGTGATTTTGCTCTAGGAGTAGTGTAACAAGTGCAATAAGAAAAATAATATGTGATTGCCTACTATATCAAGGCAATTAATGCTGCAAAAATATATTGTACAACTTGAAAAGAGCTTCTATGTGTTGTTAGAGCCCTAACTTATTTCCATCATTACCTCTATGGGCAAAAGTTTACACTCCAGACAGATCATTGAGCATTGCAAAATTTATCAATGTAGAAATCTAGATAGCAAGATGGCTCCAGAAACTTCAGGAGTACACATTTAACGTTGTACATTGTTCTGGGTAGAGCCACAGAAATTGTGATGCATGATCCCATAGACCATGAATAATGGAACACTGTGAAAAGAAGGAACCTTGAAATAGGACATCATCCACAAGTGATGAAGGAGAACTAATTTGGCTCAACACTCAACTGAAAGATGCTTAGGCAGAATAAACAAGTTTGAAAACAACTATTCAGTAGATCACGAATAGTCCCTAAAAACTTTTGTGGCTAAGAGTAATCTCAAACAGCCCAAAGACAGACATAATGGCCACAGTGGAATTCATTATGCATACAAGAGAGCTTGTTATATCGGAATTGGGAAGACACCAGTGAATAGAAACAAGACTACAGTTGGTACTTACATAGTCGAAGCACTTCATCATCTCCAACATCTGGGCTTAGAAGACACTGGGGAGAGGATACTTCTATTAGTTTTGTTGCTGGGGATGTGTAGATAATTGGTGTAATCATGTGAACTATGCCACGAGCAAAAAGGTTCACAAAAGAAACAGCACGTGCATCCACAGCAGTATTGTGTTAGAACATCAATTGAGAGAGTCGCTGTCGATGTTTAGTAGTGGGAATAAATACATCATGATTGTTATAAGATATTTCACGAAATTACCTGAAATATACACTGCAACTGTAGCAAGGAAACTCGTCAATAAGTCTGTTTCAAGATTTGGGTCGCCTATGGAACTTTGAATCAGACTTATTCGTGTTAAGGTCTTGGAATAAAAAAGACCACTTTTCACATCTTTAATTAATAATATAATGATTCTAATGCCTGTTTGGGAATATTAATTTTGTTACTTTTAGATAATGGCTTTAATGCTAAATATGATGTTTTAAGTTTTGTGCATTCTTTTTATTATACTTTAAAATCATTCAAACAACTCCAGAATCCAGGAAGAGAGCACTAGTGTTGCCTATACTGTTATCATTTTAATATTTGGTTCATTAGAGGGAGTTTTTACATAATGTAATAATTGTGTGAAATCTAAACATTTTATAAAAGTTTAGATCTTGGTGGAATCTTAGAGCATCCTATACTGTGTAGAAATTAGTGTGATATAAAAATTCCAGAATGAGTGAGTTAGATCGAATTAATTGATTCAGTGTCAGTTAAGGCCTGGTGGTTATGGGACTCGACTCGCAATCTAAGGGTTGCGGGTTCGAATCCCGTGTTTGAACATGTTTGCTCTTTCAGCCATGGAGGTGTTATAATATGATGGTCAATCCAATTTTTCATTAGTAAAAGAGTAGCCTAAGAGTTGGCAGTGGGAGTTATTGACTAGCTGCTTTTCATCTAGTCAATCACATCCAAATTAGGAACAACCAGTGTAGATATCCCTCGAGTAGCTTTGCGCAAAATTCAATAAACAAACAAACAAAGAGTGTCAGTTAAAGAGTTTTAATGAGTTAGACAATGAGAATTAATGAATCTGTTCTCCTGTCATCGAGTTATTAAGTTAATCGGTGTGTTTGTTATCAAACAATAAGCAAGGAAAATTGTGCAAGTAAATTATATGCATGCACGCAGGGGGGTTCGACCGAACCCCTATTTTTGTGATGTAAAAAAATTATAATTATATATATATAGAGAGAGAGAGCGCAGCTGCTTATGGTATTTAACATTTACTACATAATCTACATTCTTCTGATGAAGCATTAGCGTTTTTTTCGCTTGAAATAGTCGTATGCCCTCAGACTCCCGTAGCATTAGCATGCTGATTGTGCATCGCGCAAGTCCCCCCCTCCAATATGCAATATACACTCATAAAGGAGTAAGACATCAAATTGAAGTTCACCTCTTCGATTAGGAGCCCTTATCCTACCCCCACGTGGATGCTGATACCCAGTGGCTAGGTTTTGGATCTAGAGTAGAACCAATCAACATATGTCCTCATACATTTATGGTTGTCTATATTTCTCTGTTCCCCGCTGGTACAGTGGTAAATCTCCAGATTTACAACGCTCAAATCAGGGGTTCGATTCCCTTCGGTGGACACAGCAAATAGCCCGATGTGATTTTGCTATAAGAAACACATACGGTTCGCGTAATATATTGTTACGTCTCCGTTCGTTCGTTAATTAATTTCCGTAAATTCGTTCCAACAAAACTTTAGCGACACAAGTCCTTTCTT